CTACACTCAACAGTCATCGTATTCAACTGGCTCATCACAATCAGCAAAACAGAACGTAATGGGATTCCCATCCTTATCCAGCTGGAATAAGCTTACGTTAATGAAGTTTTTGATCAAATGACAAGAGCAGTTACCTTTACTGGAACAGCAAGATTAATAGGTCCTACTGCTCTACTCATCACATTCCTTTCTTCTTCCGTTAAACTTGACCTCAAGTGTAAGAACTCCACTTTACGCAAGAGTTCCTCAGCATCATGCTAAAGAGAAAACAGAACATTAAGAAAACTTTGGAGTGAGTGGAATCTGTTGTGAATCCACCTTCACAACTGCAGACTGTGTACTTGAGATAAGTTGACTAATCACAGCCTTGAAATCATGGAAGATGATTCCGTCATCCAAGAACTGTGCAAAATATGGCAAAGTATCACGCATCTGTAAGTAGATGTCGTGCAATGTCTATAGAACAGTTTTATACGTCATGTTGAAAATAAAAGTAAAATTTAAGGCGGTAAGGTGTTCGGTGTTGATGAACTCTTGACGACAAGGAGTAACGCGGAGAGATAATTACCTTGTAAAATGACGTATCTGACAATGTCAGTTGGGAAATGAAGTATGAGAAGTAGTAGGCTATATTTTTGTTATGCTCTATCGCTTCCCCACTGAAAAGAACTCCTATGAGTTACGACTATAAAAAGATGAGACATATTTAAAATATAACACATGGTACCGTATTCACCTACTGCAGAACTGGAACCTCTGACACATTTTTTCGACAACGATATCTAGAGGCTTGCCATCAACCAAAGGGAGCAGTTGCCTAAATCTTTCCCTTAAAAAAGAAAAAAAAGTTTACAAAGTTAGGAAGGTGAGACCTGACGAGATGTTTAAATGCATCCAATGGGACCTGTTCCTCCCAACGACAAATGCGGCAGATGAGGTCGGGAAGGACGTTCACAAGTAAGTTACCCTAGAGAAACATTTTGCAATAAACGCACTGGGAAGGGCATGACTATCTCCTTTCGTGGTGAGGTTGTACCTAAAGGTGTCGGAAGTAATGAAAACCGAACACAAATAGCACTAGCCTTTCGAGATAGTTCTCGGAAAAGTGCCATAGCAAGCGCAGCCACCTCCCTCTCGTCATTTGTGCTGTCCTCGCTGTTGGCATCTGCTCGCTTTCGGCTCAGCAGACAGAGTGCGGTATCTGATAATGTACCTCTTGGCTGAAACAAAGAAAGCAGGAAGTTCTACATTACATGTTCCACATCTACCCATGAAGATGTAGTCCAAATCGCTACGGTTTGTAGCTAACCTATACGCGACGGTACGTAGACTATAGGGTCCATAGAATTAAATTGGTTCCAGAATTTTTACTTCAGTATGTATATTTACTCGATAACTAATCATGAACAGATCAAAGTATGAGTGCTCAGAGAAAAAAAGCCATCCTCTAAAAATAGTGCTTTACACAAAACTTGTTTTCAGAAAAGTCCCATTAATCGGACCAACAATTACCTGTAATTTCATTCTAATTACTACGGTAATTGTTTGGGATGTGTGCATACAAATATGCCAAAATAGAGTGAACATTAGCTGGAGAACACTTTCAAATGCCGAGAGCAATATATCTGCATAAGGGACCATAGTTGTACATACTAAGTAGTAGCATACTTGTCATTCGCACCTTTAGAACGATGCAGTAAAGCCTCTTCTACAACCCCCTGTCGTGTTCACAACCCTTAAATCCCTTCAATCACTGAAAATTTACTTTTCTTTTTAAAAGAAAGAAAGCTATCCACAGTAAACTGCTCACACTCCGCCGACCCAGTCACAAAAAGGGGCGGAGATATGAATGGATTAAAGTAGTATTAAATACACAACATGCCTTCAAAATATCATGAGTTAGCAAGTATTTGAGATACAGCAACGCTGTTATGCGCACACAAGGATCCGCATCCATTGGCCTAAACCACATTTGATAAAGAGGAAATCAGATTTTAAAAGCACAAATCCTTTACATTTCGTAGAGAAAAAGACATCTATTTTCCAGCATAGTGGGAAAACGATGCATGACGTCAACACCCGCGGCCAGTAAGTACTCTCTCATCTGAGGGTCTGGATGTGAACAAATGAAAGTGAACAGCGTAGGGCTGGCTTCCTCAGTGAGTTGTGGGCTAAAAGTGGAAATAGATTAAAAAAGAAACCAGAAGAGAATTAAGGACAGTGTCACATACCAAATCAACAGGAATTTGGAGAAAGTCCTCAGAGCCGCGTTGCGGATCCCGTCTGGAATCCCAGGACAACGTACGAAAAACACGACCAAAGCCAAAGAATGTCCAACAACGCCACTTTTGTGCAGCAATCGAGTTTGCAGCAACGCCTGTGTCCGTGTCCGAATAAGTTCCTCAGTTGAAGGACCTTAAATATATACGGAGAAATTATAAAACATCATCTCATCTTACAGTTTCAAAACCCGTCAGGCTCACGATTGGAATCGTCTTCTCCTAACTCATTCGCAGCTTTATCAGCGGGTTTCTCCAAGTCAGAACTAAGCTCTGGTGATGTAATATCACCGCCCTCCGCCTTCGATTTGGCTATAGAAGTAACCGTTCTCGCAAATAAACCCTCCCGATAGGCAAAATCCATCTCAGTAATAGAATGATCCCTGTTGAAGTCAGCATAAGGTTCCACGGCTTCTTCGAGTTCCTTTAAAAAATCAATGAAGTAGTAGAACAGACGACGTCATATTTCGATAGGAAGTGTGACGAACTTCCGAAGCTTTCTCATCCAAAGTCATTGCACGTTTTAGTAGCTTCGGGAAGTAGTTGTCAACATGGACCAAAATACCTTCTATGACCTTAACAAAAAGAACCATTACTGTTAAAACTTTCTGCTCAAAAGGACATACAACTGCATTTCGACAACGAACCTCCCCAATCAGCATTAGGAGTCGTTCCGTAGTCCTCTGCCATGTTATGTTCCAATACTCACTATAACAGTAGAGAGTAAAAGATCACTATAGATAACATCGACAAACACATCCACTTGAAAATGACAATCAGAGGGTTTCAAAATAATGTCTTGTACTGCTGAACTTATTTAGTATGCGAAATTCCACGAAAGGTTACAAAGAAAAGGAAATACCTTCGAGCAATTGCACACTCACGATCGATCGATGGCGGAGGTCCTTCTTTATATAATATCAACAGTTGAGCGGAACGATGAGCGTACCACATTGCCTTCAGGTAAAACAGTTATATATTTTAAATAAAAGGATAAAGCATTCGGCGTTGATAAATCCCTGAGGGATGCGCCATGCATGCGACCTCATTAAGTACCGTTGGAGTTGACTGAATGCATATCTGGCCTTTACAATGACTCGTGGTGGCCTACCGATGTATCGAGCCAGTGCCGCTATCCTCCCAGACAAGTCTGGTAACAATTTGCCGACTCCGCAGGGATGAAAGGCTTGGTGAGCTATGGGCGCTGGGATCGATTCCACGTGTGTGTCGCCTCCAAGCACTGCGCCACATGCGCCCTGTTATTCTTCTAAATATTAAACAAAAATCTCAAGTTATCTTAATCAGACACCACACTCCACTGCGGCTCTACGCTTCACAAGCAGTGACGCATACGAATAGTTCTTATCTCAGATTTACCAAATTTAAGTCATGAAGGCCATTGGAAAATGAGACTTCTACCTCGATACGGATATCATAACTAATACCAGGGAAAAAACCACGATTCTATCAAGATTTATATAGTCGTACCTTTCCAAGTATCCTTGAAACAACGTAGTCGATGTCAGCAGACAAAGCGAAAACTGCTTTCACACAGTGACGCATGCTGACATACCAGTACTGTGACTCGACAGTGTCATCGTCCGATAACATCACTTGAATTCGTAAAAGCATGTACTTGTTTTAAAAAAAGCACTTGATTTGTAACGAAAATTGTGAATCCATCTCAATAAGGAGTCTGACGCTAATTAAAGGCGAAGACACGTCCCAAGATGGCTAGCAAGGAATAAACGTCAACTGAAGTCGGCATAAACATGAGCATGGAAAGACTGTCCTGTTTATCCTCTACAAGTTCTTTATTTAACTCATCTTCAACGGGATTTGTATGACAGTTGACGAAGAGCAAAGGAAGTCAGTCACATAATTAAACAGAGCTCCAAAAAGTGTTCAGCAGAACGACTGGTCACATCTACATGTCTACAAAACAAGAAACTACTACGATAGTTCAAAGTGCCATGTTCCTGGTCTGAAAAAGTCGATAACCTTTAAAGTTACTAAAGCATCTCTCCGCAAAATCGTTAGGAAATTGGGATAGGATAACACGAGGTCGAATATCGATGTCAAAAAGGTGTAGTTGATCCTGGTGTTTCAATCACGCCCAACAGAACGAATATCTCACTGAACGAATACCACTGTACCAAGTGTATAAATTGGGATAGCGTAGTTAACATGATGAAGAACTTCGCATCGGAGCTCTATGGAAACCGAGTTTAGGTAGACTACAATGCCAATAAGGACGAAGTAAGAGAACGGAGAACATTTTCCTCCATGCTCCAATCAACGGCCTAATATTTCCCCTTTCCATAACTTACGCCTCATAGCGCTGAGGTCTCATAAGCAGAATGATTATTCAATAATATCGAATGCGCTGTCGAGAGAGCTTTGCTAACTATGAAAACAGTATCTCGTTAGAGATAGGACCCAGAGTCATAACCGGCGACCAGAAAGCACAGGCGTTATCGCTTACGTTCACAGTATCCAAAATACAGCGGGAGAGACACGCGAAAGGTCTCAACGAAATTAATCGTACAAATGCCGCAAGGACCTGTACACCAATGGGGAACAGAAATCGCCGACTTAATGTCAAAACTTTCACGAAGACCCTAGAAAAGGGATTCTTGGGCCTCGACTAAGCAGCATATACTTGGCAAATGTGGCACGAAATGTGTGTTGTCAGACCAAGACAATGTAAAGCACTAAAAAATGTCATTTTTTCGTACTCTTTCTGAATCAAATACAACTGGAGACCACATGGACATGCTCCAGACGTTTCCTGACCAGTCAGAAGACGAGTGGTTCAGGTGATTTGTACGATGCCAAAAAAGAAAACTAAAATTGGCAACTACCTCTAAACAAGAACTCTTCCATATCTGGAAATAGTGAGTCTATCGCTCGCAAGTGATATAAGTAGGCTTCGTCCTCTTTGTCCACTGTGTTCTGGAACGGCATCATATGAAATTGTACACTTTGCACTTAGCTTATGAATAATTGCTAATTCATATTTCTCTGTGTAAACGCTACCGCATCCCCAAAAACAACACCCACGTCGTTCAATGGAATAAGATATGAAATAGCACGCAGAGCTTCACACGCCACAAGCACATCAGAAGAGCGGAGGCATTTCTGGAAATCTCGAAGGTATTCCCGCATTCCGCGTGGATTAACCCTGTAAATAACAGAATTAATGTAAGCCCAAAAGCTTTGAGAAATAGTAGCAATTCCTATGTTCTGTTATTAATGCGTAAGCTTGAAATTTACAGAAATGAAATTCATTGTATAAGCATCGTCTTAATGAGGCGATTACAGCACTATGAAACCAGGGAAGAAAGCTCATTGAGATCAACTCCCAATAATCTAAAAATTCCAAACTTATTTAGGTGTTATTTGTAAAGAAAACTAAATTCAAACGGTGCACAGGCATACAACAGGACCCTGCAAAAAGCGCTATGACGACCATTGCCGGGAACTGACAGAAAGAAGAGGAAGAAGGGACTTCGCCAATGGTCTGAAATTAATGTAACAATAATTAGAAACTGTTAAAGAACTTCTAAACCAACCTTAATAAGATGGTTGACGAGTTCAAATGGAAACTTGTTTCGACTGAACGCAAGAAAGAGCAGTTCCTCTAGAGCGTACCGATCTTTCTTAAAACGGTAATTCAATTAAGGTGTAAAAATAATACACTTCCTCAATAAAAAACAAACCAATGGAATAAGAAACGAGCGCTAAAATACGCTCCTATTTACAGACATTCTAGAACGATTTAGAGCAGCACATAAGAAAAGTCTTAGCTACGGTGAGGAAAGAACATCGTTCAAAGATACTCTAAGCAGGCAAACACAGAGAACACGCTTTAACACATTCGTGCCGACATGACCTCATAAAAACCGAAAATGATGTAGAAACAACTGTTGCTTTCAACCTTACACCAGCTCATCACAGTAAATTTCAACGAGAATCACCAGCATATACAGATCTTCTCCTATCAGATCTCCTGCTCAGTAGTGATGAAATATGCGCCCATAAAATATATGTTATCAAAATTTCCGGTTAAGAAACCAATACTACAGGTGTTTAAAAATTTGAAAGAACGACGCTCGATTAATCTCCGTACTAATTTCCAAATCTAATTTTACAAGGTCACCTTCTGCAGCTGACAAGCATGTGTTTTCAGCCGGCATTACATGACACAATGGTACCCTAAAAAATGGATCTTTGGTTTCCCGACCCCACACTGCGGGGGAAGTTTTCAAAATTAGACTTCCTTTTCATTTTTTTTTCCACTTTTAACTACAAGCAAAGATAAAACTGAAGAATTTTTGATGTCTGCCACAGAACAGACTGTATTCTCTTTCACATACATTTGAAATGATCACAATCCTTTCGGCAACTATTGGTCAATAAAACTGTCGTTTGCTATTAAAAAACCAAATGAGTCGCGAATATGCTCAACGACTAAAACATATTCTACAGTGGCACCACATAGAATTTCTATCTGGGCATGCTAAAATATTTTTCATAAAAAATGTACTGTACCATGTCCGGCTTGTTCAGGCTTGCAATCAATCCCTTAGCAGTCTCAACTATGTCGAGTTCTCCTTTGCTAAATAAAAATACTAAACAGATAAGCATTAAACTGGCGTAAAAAACAATGGGTGAAAATGGCCAATGAAAGGAAAACTAAAATCCGAAAAAAGAAGAACCTGTCTTTCTTGAGGAACAATGCCATAACTGCGTTAAGCACTTCCGCTGATAAACCAGGATTTCCCAAACTGTACATGTTAAAGAGAGCACACGTCCAATTCCTGTTAATAATGGGGTATAAGTACTAGGTACTACCACAAAAGGCGCAAGAAACATGTAGTTACACGAACCTTATTTGGAATTTTCCACAAGTTGCACAAAATGTCACAGCGTTGTAGTCGACATTCACGAAATTGTTCTGCTTTACGTAATCGACAAGAACAGGAAACAACATAGTCATCTGCTCGGCAAATAGCATCTTTTCCTTGAATGGGGACGGAAAAACAAGTGTTAAACAAAACTTGCCCGCCAGGTTTAAAAACGTTTTTAGAAAGAGACACAAATTCCCACCTGAGTAACGCGAAGTGCATGCTCAATCAGATCCATGTTCTCTTCATAAGCTGCCTCCATTTCATGGAGAAATTCCTCTTCGAAAGAATCTCCTATGCGGCTTATATGTATCGAGACATAATACCGTTGAAATTCACGAACCAGGGCGTCTATCAGTTCTGGTCTCGGTAAATCTCTTGAAAAAGGAAACGCTGTTGTTAAAAGAGAAAATACAACGTTATTCAACAAAAAAAAACATCCATCAACGAACTAACGTGCTAATGGTTTTGAATCTGCCAAGATAAAGAAGCTTGACTAGAACGCATAACACATCCCTCATGGAAATTTCAATCATATCCACCAAGATTGTTATCAGACTGAAAATAAAACAGAAAAGGCTTATATTACAAGACCTTTCATTTCGGAATGCCATTAATCAAGCTTTTTGAGTACAACAGTACCTTTCCAGTGGCTCATCTTCGATACCTTCACTGTCCTTCTCGTATAATTTGTGCTCTAGGACCAACTCCAACACTTTACGCATTTTCCCTTCGAAGGAGTTAAATCGCTCCATAACCACGAAGAATCCCGGGCGATCTAGATGCTAAAACCATGAAAATGTCCCAAATCCTCTCCAATGAAAAGAAATAACCTGGATTAATGCATTCCACTTCGTCTTTGCGTGCACTAAGTTCTTTGCATGTTTTACTCAAGCTTTCGAAATCTAGCTAGAACAGGTAACGTTAGATTTCTACATTTCCACCTGACTTAACAAATTTAGATACTTAGGAAATTTAAGATTTTTTAGAACGCACCTTAGTCCCATAAGGATTAAGGATTAGGTAAACCAGTAAAAACTTCATTGCGCAAGTACGGTTTTGGGATAACTTGTCTCCCAAACGTTCGGCTAAAGAAATCATGAAAGGAATTTCAGATTGGGACCAAATGCTAGCTAAGAACATTCATTTACCAACGGCAAAAACAAGCCCTTTTTTGAGAGAGTCAAAGGGAACTCGGCGATTTTCAGCAATCTCAATCCAGTACTTCAAAACGTTCGCTCGAACTTGAGGGTTGCTGTCAGCTAAATGAGCCTGCAAAGAAAAAATATTGGGAAAACTTCAACAGTGTGAAAACCACAATGAAGGTAATCTCGCCTGTAGCTGATCCGTCATAATATCTCGAACAATGCGGGCATCTCGTCCTGGTCTTAAATAACGAGGCTTCATATCCGGACCACAAACAACGCAACAAAATGCTCTCAAGATAGCACTACGCATTGAAGGTGGCTGGAACTTGAAACACTGAGAACCACATAGAAAATACCGTGTTAAAACTGCTTCACTAACCACATTTCATTCTTGACTGAAATTCTAATGATTTCAAAGATAAACACGAAAACTAACCTCGACAACAAGAAACCTTTCTTGTTGTGTTATAGTGAAGTTAAAGTCACATTACTAGCAAATTTCGATGAAACTGAGACACCCATCCTACATACGAAGTTCAACCATACTATTTGAAATGCAGTGACAACCACATAGCTCTTCTACTGCACATTTATATCTAACACTGAAGTGATCTACACGCTATAATTATTCCACCAAAGCTATTCATTCAGTCCTTTTTTGGTGTGACAACTTCGATATGCATCATCATGTATGCCACCACTAAGTCCGCGCGTGGACGACCATTTGTTTAAAAAAATCAACGTATTCTATTCGGGTCTTGTCGGATCGTGGAATTCGTCGGTGATTTTCTTAACGATTTCGGGGCATTCATCCTGATAGACACGACGGGTCTCAACCGAGCGACGATTCGTTAAGGCCACCTGATAAAGAACATCTTTTCCTATTCGAACTTTCTGAAATATCGCTGATAGGCCATACGTTTCTCTCTAATTTCCTTTATGTGGTCAAATCGTTCAACGCTGAAAAACTGCGCATTTTTTGGCGGATTCTGGCCAAGAATCTTTTTCCTGATCGCGTCTTCTTTTACGAGCGTTTCAGGCAATGAAAAAATTTAAGGAAATCGTCAATTTTCATTCCGACTGGGACGACGCTCAGTGAGCATGTCCAGCCTTCTTGAGTGACAGTAAAGATAACCAGGTATTGATCGTGATAAAGAGCGACATTTCGAAAATGTTGCTGAACCAATTCGGTAAACCTGGATCGATCACGATGCGTTAAAAATCAAACTTTAGTGAATCGCAGCAGTCCTCCCAGAACTGCTAGACCATATGTTCCATATTTAGTGAAGAAATCACCTTATGGTTGGAATGGAATATGAAGAAAGAAGCTGTTCTCTAATTTGAATCCAAAACTGCAGAACCATCCCGGACTGAATTATATGCAGCAGTTCCTGGTGTTAGAAAGTCACTGTTGGATGTGAGCGCCAAGCAGTTCGGTTGGAAATTCCATCATCTTCAGAAAAGGATCGCTCGTTATTGCTCAAGGGGCAAGCTGCCAAGCGTCGGAACAGGTAAAGACGACGATAACGGTAAACCGCCAAGAAGATCACGGGAGCTTTCGGCGCGTGTGGAAGATGATGAAGACGAGCCACGTATTTCTAACGAAGGAATCGCGAACACCCATTTTCAACAACGAGTTATCAACGTAGAGAAATCATTATTATCAACGAAAAGAACAGTAGAGTGGACTCCAAAAAAATGCAAACGTCCCCGTCGACGAACACCTAGACGTTGGGCGGACGTGTTCGTAAACAAAGTTAATCAGCTGTACCCGCGGCTACAGTTGTTTTACAGATTACGGTATGAGACTCGCCATCGCTACCATACTCGAACAAGACCACCACCATGGACTACGATTGCGAGCGAAAGGAACGAATGGCATATGTGCTGGAGTCCGCACAGGTCGTGAAGACGGACCATCCAAGTATCCAAGTAAGTAAGTAAATTATCAATGTGTCCAACGCACCACCATTTTCAGCGAAAAGAGGTAGAACTGGTTACTGAGAGATCAAACAACGATCTAGTGGACTCGTATTATGTAATGATTCAGTGATGACAGACCACGAGAACATTTGCTTATCAAAACTCGGTATGAGTCTGAAAGAGAAAAAAAGGTCGCCACTGTCATCAGAAGAATATGAACTCTCCAAGTTGGCTCCGTCAACAAATGCGCTCGGACTACCACTAACCAAACAAATGATTGCTGAAGCACATACTCGCCGATAATGACCAACCAGAAAAGGAATAAAATGCTGATCAAAAGAAAGCGAGAGAAGAGAAGTCACTGATGGGTGCAGTGAACAGTTATAATCGAGGCAATTATAAATTGAATCCCACGGTTGTCCAAGAATAGGACTACAACGTGTACTATGGAGGAGTCAGTAACGGTCTCCTATGGCCTGCACTGCACAATCTACCAGAATACCTTGTGTCCGATTACAATACACCGAAGATTTCACGCGACCATTAGTGAGACGGAATGAATGATGGTACCAACTATAAACAGAATTATTGCAACAACCACGAGGAATCCAACGGATTTGAAAGTATTTTGATACAGCACAAGTATAGAAACGGGCTTTCTTAGTATGTAAGATCGAAAATATGTTAATCTCTAACAGTAGCTGAGCATTAATGATTAAAACGAAAAATAAATTTTAAAAAACTCACATCGTATTCCAAAAATGGTACAATACCACGGATGTTCTCAAAAAACGTTCCAGGTGCACATTGAGCAATCTTTTCAACTAGCAGTGCAAACGGTCGAGGAAGAGACTGCAGCGAGGATTCACGTGGACGTAGCATTCCAGCGAAATAAAGCATGTGGGACATCATTTGATCCATATCACCTTAAACAGTTATGCCAGTCGTCAAAAGCAGAAAAACAGTTCAGATTGTAAAGAACGAATTCAAACCAACCGTCAACAGAAAGCGCCTTGATTGGTTCAACAAATGGATACTCCGTGACTCGGGCATCATTTAGATACTCAAAATCCAGACTAGCTTTAACTATTATTCGAGCGACCTCTGCAAGGAAAAAAAACCTTGTCTGCAATAACAAGGCGGCTTTGATTAAAACTTTGGAGATGTTGATTTGAAACCCTCAATTCTGAATATGAAATCATAAAAACAATAACTATGGAACCAATGAAGAAGGCTAACCGTGCCCAATCTCAAACGTATTTTCAAAACGAGAATTGCTTCACGAAAATCTGAATTATGTACAGTCCAAAACCTCTCATCACTACACATGACGGTGCTTTACGTGTTCAACAGTGACACAGTCCTTACAGTCTTCACTAAGTAAGCAGAAAACAAATCATAAAGGAAGTATTAAGAAAAATATGGTGAACTGTGAAGAACGAGAAAAATGTACCACTGGCAAGTTTGAAGTGGACACAAATAGGGCGAAGATGACAAAAAAGTTCCTGAAGTTCTGGCTCTGAAGAGGTTACAGCAAATCTTGGATGAGCAGCGAAATTGACTATAGTTTCGGCTAGAGTCCTAAATGACTAAAACAGTCAAATAAAGGAAAACCTGTGGATCGCAACTATGAAGTCCTGAGCTATTTCATAGACTTAGGCAGTATTTCACCTTAACCAACTTAGCAAAAATAAGCTCGCCTGAGCATTTGGATATCAGCTTCCGCAGGTCGCCAAAGGAATTTTATAGCGTTATCGATAGATTCTCCGTTACCGTGACGAATATTTATGCAGCAAATAAAGCGGACAATCCCAACAATCTTTAAAAAACTCTAAATGAACATATGCAATGGGATAAACATGTGCTTGAAATATTCACTTCAACACGCAGATCCCTCCAAACAGCCAAGTCCTCGTCGGAAATGCTGTCCCTGCTTAATCTGTCATTCTCATTCAACTCATGAATTCCGGTTCCCACGGAATTCGCTCCAAATCTGTTGTACGCACTACAAATATAGTATGGAATCAGGTTCAGGGTGAAATAAAATTAAATCAGGAGAAATCACAATTATAACCTTATTATTTATTGCCTACTATAATTTTTGACGGCAAGGTATCATGTGAAATACAACTAGGATGACGCTGAGATATTTGCAAAACTCCGGACGGCATGTGTCTGCGGTGAAGAACGAACGTGCAATTGTCCTTTTCGGGGAGTAACGCGTTCACCACCACACTATGCGGGTCCTTCGTTTTGCCTGTCTCTCAGTCAGTTCTATCGATTGGCGCCATCAGCGATCACCCGTCAATGGGACTGATCCAGGGAGCACAAATGGTGGTGAACGCGTTACTCCTCGGAAAGGACAATAGCGCGCTCGTTCCCCACCGCAGACACCTGCGGTCCTGACTTTTGCAAATATCTCAGCATCATCCTTGTTGTAAATGGGGAGATTCAAAAAACAGTGGGTGGCCGTCCTACGCCGATCCTCTAAAAATTGCTGCAGATAGACTTTTAAATAGAGCCGATTTAAGTGCAATACTTACTTAGAGTCGAACAAATATCGAAAAATGGGTGGTCAGCGACTTGTACAATGCGCTCAAACTGAGGACAAGAATGTCACTATATTCTAAATCCTTCACTGCTTGCACAATTATGGTCACATATCAGGTATAAACAGCAGTGATAACACTCACATGGAAATTATTCCCTAACAACTAGAGGTTACACACCAAAATCATATTTAGCTTTACATTTAGACACAAGTGTTGTAGTCAAAGTGGATTCCGTTNCTAAAAATTGCTGCAGATAGACTTTTAAATAGAGCCGATTTAAGTGCAATACTTACTTAGAGTCGAACAAATATCGAAAAATGGGTGGTCAGCGACTTGTACAATGCGCTCAAACTGAGGACAAGAATGTCACTATATTCTAAATCCTTCACTGCTTGCACAATTATGGTCACATATCAGGTATAAACAGCAGTGATAACACTCACGTGGAAATTATTCCCTAACAACTAGAGGTTACACACCAAAATCATATTTAGCTTTACATTTAGACACAAGTGTTATAGTCAAAGTGGATTCCGTTTGTTACCATTGCCCTCAATCGGTTGGTCCATTGTCTAAACTGTACTTCCGTAACCACATTTGCACTAATTTCAGATCAAATAAAATTGGTAGGTCTGCCCGAAGAAATCGCTGCCGGCACAAAGCTCTACTCCGATCTGCGAGGGTTAGCGACTGCCAGTGATGGAAACCAGAGCACGCCATAGGATAAATCAGACCTCGATATTATACTTGTATGCACTTCCATAGCCGAAGAAATCAATACTAAGCATGACGGTCGTCAGGTAAAGAAATGAATGGAAAATGAGCTGGGAATCGCACTACTCGTGATGAGAAGCTATCTAAGGACCAAAAGTAAAAAATTCGGGCAATAGCATTTGTAAGGAAAACGCTCAACCTAAGTTCACAAGCAATACGATAACTCTCATATGGTGTATAGGTGTGTGGTTCTTCACCTTAGCTACGCACCTATAAGATGACTTGCCATCAACAAAAATGTAGCATCCAGTAGGTTCTTATTAGTGTCGTTTCTTTGTGGTAGTAGTTCATGGCGTTGGTCCGTTTAATATATGACGACATATGCAAAATGTACTTAGAAACTCATAAAAAGCTCAAGATTCTCACAGCGTTGATCAATCCCTGAGGGATGCGCCACGCATTCGACTTCATTAAGCATCGTTGGAGGTGACGGAGTGCATATAACCTTTTACAAGGACACGCCTACCGATGCATCGAGTATGTGCTGCTATCCTCTCAGACAAGTCTAGTAGCAATTTGCCGACTCCGGAGTGATGGAGGACTTGGTGGGCCAAGGGGATCGATCTCATGTGCATTACAGGGCGCCTCGGAGCACTGTGCCACACGCCCCCGGGAATCCATTAACTGTTCACAATTCCGGCCGCTCTAACGATCCATTAATGCGATTGACGTAACCTTATCGGCATTATCAATGCACCCACAGCATGTTCAGTAGTGAAATTGATCCAAATAGAATTTTTCCATAAACTTTACGAAAAAGAAGATAGGCAAGAAAAATGCGCACCATTTTACAACAGCTCGTTCAATATGAAAAGTGAGCCTATGGATGAGATACACGAGCATTAGTAGAACCTCAACGCGATCAGCACAGACTTCAGCTAACTGAAATTTTCTGAAATCAGGGAACTTTGGAATCATTTTCTTATTCAAACACTGAATTGAAAAAGCAGTGATCTATCATAGAAGCAGTCGTATAAAAGTCAACGCCACTACAAGTGCGTGATTAATGCATGACAATCTGATGCTATAACGTTTTTAACCCACATTCCCTGGAAGATTATCGCCAGCACTCACAGCATGACACAGAACTCTAACCAGATCTGGTTTGAAAGAGTCAAATACTGAAAAAAAAACTTTTGCTGAAAACTACCGTAAACCGACAACTACCACAGACCTTTGATTAACGTTTGTATCAGATCAAGCCGGATATTCCAGTCTCTAATGGTTGTGTCGATCCTAGAAAAGCGTCAACAAGAGGATAACAATGCTGGGAATGGTAAATCTGTCAACACCTGCAGATATGAAAGAGATCCTCAAAGTAGTTGTAAATCACTCCATAGTCTCCATCCTCCGCTGCAGTGGCGAAACCTGTGTTATAGGAAGTACCCAAGGATACACGCACGAAACAGCAATACTGAATAGATTACATCCTGGTAAACCGAATGAGAAACGAACTATCACTGGCTGTTTTTAACCACTCGAAAAAAGGATAGATAAGTTGTTCAAATGTCTAACGATCTCTAGTATCTTAGAAAAACAACCGACCAGTGCGAAATTACTACAATCAGGAGACCTCCAATTAAAAATGAAAACAGTTACAGATTTCGCTAAGACAATGTGGTGGACTAAAAGCGGGCACCGAGTGAAGCATACTATGAACCTACGTCGTACAACATTCTGAGCGCTATCGATTGATATATTCCCCTTCTTCACAACGAATGAAGTTGTACCTGATAGCAAGTCCTCGTCTCTATCAGGGATTTCAAATCTAAAAAAAACACTACTAGGATCTTTCAACAAAACATTTGGGGGCTGTGGAAGGACAAGAACGATTTATCAGTAAAAAAAAATGGATAATTTACCATTTTTATTCATAGTAATGGGAAAAGTGACGTATAGTCAACCTCTGCAATAAAAGAATTGTATTATGGCTTGCCTTGCTCCATAATGCGATGTATCGGAATCTTCAACATTCCCCACAACCTGATCCTGTTCGTCCATCCCTGATTCACTGCCTTCAGCTATTGGGAACACCTGAAGATGTTCTTCATCATTCGCACAATTGCCACTTACGGAAGAGACTGACATCCGTGACAACGGCCAGAGATGAATGAGAGTAATTTGTGAAAGCAAGGGTATGGACAGTAGGAACATTCACGACAATGCCTAGACATCGAGAAGACCAACTTACGAAAGACACTTTATAAACAGAGACACGAATAAGCTGGAAGCGTAACAGGAGCCGAACAAGAAGAATGCTTCTCTCTGGTTGGCATAAAAGCGTAAAACATTTCAAGAGATTCGAATTTCTGAACAGCAACAACCGAATGGAAGGAAACGCGCCATTAAAAACAGGTCTGGCTAGGACATGCAGCAGTATGAAATCGTTTCCAGCGTCGAAACTTAAAAAAAAGAAAAGGTAGAGAGAAGAGCAATACGTGAAAGATTTTACACAAATGAGGAAATGATCGAGGTTCGCGGCAAAGAACAGGGAGTTGAGAGAGCGGCGCTGGAGCAGAGTTGCATCCTTCAAGCTGAATGGTCCGTATTGCAGCGCAGTGGTTGAAAGTGCCCCGCTATACGTACGTGGTCCTTGGTTCAATCCTCCCTCTCAAACTAACCAATTGTTCCATCTTTACGTTATTAGGAAA